TGGTTGAGACCAGCTTTTTCTCATTTTGGTTAGTGTTGTGGCACCCAAGCATTTCAGTCCTTACTGTCTCCATGGTGGTAGCAGTCAATTGAACGGGTTCAGAAGTCAATCGGTAATTGCTTCTGAAAACCCATTCCATAGCTACGAGGCATGATAAAAGCTTCATCGCAGTGAGAATTCAATCGTGATCGCCGATGCAGTCGATAGAGTGGACCTGCAACACATACCAGAGATACAAGCCAGCAAGCCGGCAAACTCGTTCCACCTCAGAGGAGACGACAGGTTTACAATTCGGTATCTTCTTTATACTTCCTGTACATCGCATACTGCCCCGTCGCCCAACAAAGCAAGTTGCATGCACACTCAAACAAGCAGGCTCAGTACCACAGTGTTTATTAACTATATGATTAGCTCCACTATTACCCACGTGAAATGGGTTCTTCCACTTCGAAAACCTAGTACCAGACGGGAAGACGGTGAGTTGGTTCGCCTGTTGGTATCTGCTTATCAGTCAGAACCAGGTGGAGGTATACAGTCACGCAACTAAACTTCTCCGTCCCACGAAAACCTGAGTTGTGGAATACTCATGTCGGTGTTGATGGTAGAAACGTTTTGTGTCCATTCAGTATGAAAGATTGAAGAAAAGAAATATCATGGACTATCTGTGGAGTTTAAAGTAGGGTGAGAGACACCAAGAGAAGTAATTTATAAATGGGGAAGTAAATATCGATTTCAGATAATTTGAAAGAATGGATAGATAATAATTTAAGGATGCTGAAAATTCCCACCATTAAAATCAACGTCAGATGTTTCTGTGAACAATGTCTATGTCAGTTAGATCCTTTATACATTTCACTCTCATATACGTAGCTTTATATCAGTCACGTATATAAGGATAAAGCTTGATAATTCAACAACATTTAAATAATTTGCATGTTCAGACTGCGCCTAAACTCTACTGGAAGTAATTTCATACATTGGAGTTTTAGATGATGAGTTATTCTTGTAATTTATCATGTTTATTTACTAAATACAACGGAAATATTACCAGAATATATTTTTGCGGAGAAAACGTTTTTTCATTGAGTCATGTTCATAAGCTGTGCCATCGTAATCACAGTTGCAACAAAATATGTCCATTAATAGCTAATTGGTCAATACAAGGTTAACAAAAATTGTCATGAACGTCACGAGGTGATTATGGCTAGCAGGTCAACATAAGGTCATCAAAAACTGCTTATAAGATTACAATACATAAACAGATTATAAATAAATAAATAAATAAAATGTCTTAGAGAAATTATGATCAACGTGAAATTAGAGATTGGACATAACTAGATAATAACTTCTCTAAGTTATCACCGCAAGCATTATATCACCTTGTAAAGAGTGTAGTCATTTGATGTCATGAAGATATGCTTATTGCACAGTAATTTAATTGATTTTTAAGATACATTTCTCAGTATGCACGCCTTTTTATTGGTAATACTGAGTAATGGGCTACCAATATTGACTATGCGTTTTGCTACGTCCGTTTCAATAGTTGACTTCAAAAATGTGAATGGCGTTCAATATAATTGTACTTCACAGTTCGAGGGTTACATAGATGAGGTTAAGATAGTATGAATATTATCAAAATTGCGAACAAAGCTTGAACAAGTAATGGATGGTTTATTATATCGCCTGGTTTTCATTTCTTCGGAGTTAAACTAACTTGTCTTCCAACGTGTTTCTAACTTAGTGTTTAACCAGCAGGCTTACCACAAATTAGCTCAATGGAATTATTTGTACCTGACAATGAAAGATCTTATTGGTTGTCAAATAATATCCATCTTATAGTTTTTTGCAACTATAAACCATTCGACAAAACAATAAGATGTAAATTGTCTGAACCGTGTGACATATATGCGCAACCCATTTTGAACCAACTCATCACACACGCGATTGTTATAGGTATATATTTGAAAATTCATGAAGATAAGAGGTGAGAAAACGAAAAGTGGTCAAGTAGGAAGGCCGAATAACAATGAAAATCAATAGAGCAACAATAATAGTACATCGAACGTGGTTTTCATAGTTGAGTTTACCAAGCAAGATTTAATGTGATAACAAATTCAGAGGTACTACTAATCATGGAATGACATCAGTTGAAGAATTAATGAAAACCTGGGAGCACTGGACAGCTATTTTGTCCTAGTATGGGACTCCTCGGCGGTACGCATCCACGACCCAGCCAAGGCTCAAACTCAAGTGGATGCCTTAAACACTTGGCCACTGGGTTGGCTTTTAGTGGTGACTAGCGTGACTATTAGCCAAAGTCTTCAGTTGGCATCTGCTTTCCTTCCGACTGGTTGACCCACAGGTCACGGCTTCTCATTAGAATTTCATGATATCCATCTGGAAGCATGTCACTGATAAGCACTATACGGTGGTGTATTTTTGAGATGAATGGAGACTTTTTATTTAGAGGTAGTATTCATCACTAAGTGATAAAAATTGGTTTTGTATAAAACGACGAGACGGAAACGCAGGAAGGAAGGTTTATTATTGACGTAGTGTACAGTAGTCATTAAATATTGTACACTTTCCATTAAGACAGTCATTTGCACTATGTGCGTCATTTCCTTTTCTGTTTCTATCGTGGTTTGCTCTTAATTCGCCTACATTGTCTCTTGCGTTGTTCTGGATAGAATCTTTACCCATTGCTGGTAATTGCCTATGATTTCTGCCACCCTCTCAACATATACTACTTATATACATTCTGATCGTCAGCGTCCACTACAGTCTGAACTTCCTAATGGCTAAGGCCTCAACAAATTTAACGAGCCATCCCCAACATGTTTTGCAAATAGGTATAAAGGAAGTAGCCTGTCAATCCGGTGACCTGTCTCAGCTATATGCTTCGCGATCACAGAATTTAGACGTCAGCTACAAATGTTGACGAGTTCAGGTGATTTTATTTGCTTCTGAAACCATTTTGGATTATGATCCGAGGCCCTAACTTGCAAAGATCTTTGATTTCTCCCCATGTATGCGTCACCACACGTACATTTCAATTAGTAGATACAATGAGATATGGCATTGTCATTCGCATGCTTTTCGAATAAATTAGGTTCGTAGAATGTCTTTCGTTTGTTGTAAATGTACCGATTTCTATTTCTAGGCAGGCTATACAGTATTAACAAACATCGCAGAACAGCTCACCTTTTTTATTTTAAAGTGATTACGCGAAATATCAGAAACAGATTGTGCTCAGTAGTTGTGTCTAGCGAACAAACTAGTTCTTGACTAAGAGCTTTCTCGGATAGTTGTAATACCTGTAAACAGTGTTATGTTATTAAAGTATTGATGCAAAGTGGATGTCACTTATATGTGCTTCTACTTTATAATGAGTTACACTTATCATCATGGCGTAATACGCCATGCACTCATTGACCACGGGAAGCAGAACAAACTTAACTTATGGTCATATAGTTGGTAACGTAACTGCTACACCAGTCACGTGGAGCGATACCGTCAAAGGATTTTGACTTTGAGTGATCTTTTGGAATATCTTATACTTACATATTTAGCTAGCACTGCGTCAGAAAGTAATACAGTCAGTTTAAAGGTAAATTAATCCCAGTGACAATAGGCTTCACGCCTACCACGTTTTGTTTTGTTATTGTCCTCTAGTTATTGTGGTGAAGTTCTACCGAACCAGAATGTCTTACTTAGTTAATAATTAGTAATTCAAATAAGTTGTGCGTCGCATGGACAAGGGATTCAAATTCCACTCTCATAAAAACCAGCAATACAATGAATAACAATAAGGCTCGTAAATGAGTGAATCGATGTAGGAACAGTCTACAACCATCTGTTTCGATGGACACATCAGTTTATTCAGAGTTTAATTTCATGCGAACTCGGCACCTGAATTTAACTAAATGTTTAGATTTATGCATACTGATCCTACCTGAACGTTGTATGCAAATCACAGTTAACAACTCTAATCGAAACGTTTGCGTTGGCAAAGAAAGTAATCTGTGAATTCGCAAAGAGAAACGCAAAGTTAATTTTTCAAGAACTCAAGCAAGTGTTTTTTTACCAACTCAACAGTTTAAAAAAATCGTCAAATGTGCGGTATTTTCACTTCGTATTCATGAGTTTAAGAAAATAAAAAACATACACTCCTATTATATTACCCATCATTACTTCTCTTTTTTTGCCCTACGTTAATTAAATGACAGGATATTTGGAAAAATATCCAAATAAAAACAGTCCTTCTTGAATTATCTCCAACCGCAAATGTTATATGTGATATTAAAGGCCTGAAAGTGCTTTCATGAAGCTCTCTTGACATCTAAAATCATCTGTATAGATTTACATATAAAAACTTTATTTGTATTTATTATTATTTTTCCCTTGAGTTCCCAGTGGAACATAGAGCTTCAGTAGTACGCCTCCATTGCACTCTCTTCTCTGCAGTCTTCAAAACCTGGCGCCACGAATGCACACAAGCTTTCATTTCTTCTTCACATGATCTCCATGTCACCCTCACCTCGGACGCTCAACTCGTCGTTTCTCCTTAGGATTCTACTTGACGGCCTGGCGTGGCCTGGAGCGTGACGTCTCCAGTCGGCCTTCTCAGTGTATGCCCAATCCATCTCCACTTTCTTCTTCTGCATACTTGTTGGGTGATAGGTTGATTGTTGGTTCGTTACCAAGCCAGAGTTCCTTGCTGTCTATTCTTTCTGGCCATCTTATCTTTAGTACTGAATGAGCTTGGGCAGCTGTTGATGAATGTAGGTGACTGAAAATAAATTAAAATCAATTTCTATCTTGTGCACATGATTGTTGATCAATAACACACATATTGATTTAAGTAAAAGAACTAAGTTCATAGCGAAATGAAACAATAACTGCACTGAAAATTAGTTCATTTTCGAATATAGAAAGCTAAGTCTTTTCGATAAACATAAACTTTACATTTGTTATAGACCAAATAAACAGATTTTACGATGTGGAACTTTCAAAGTTGTCTGTTGTGCATTTCTGTGACACTTCTAATACTAATTCACAATATTATAATGATAAACAATGCAATATCCTATTTTCCAACAAACTTAATCCCTGATGAACTTGATTTTAAGTTGAATATTGTACATCGAATGAAAAGTCAGTTATTGACTAAAATAACTGCAATACTATGCGGTACAACAATATGTACTGTATATTGGATAATAATTTTGTTGGTTAGAATAAAACCGAAGTATATTAACCATTATCAGTACAGACTTTACTTCTATTGCATAAGGTGTACATGGAGTTTGTTTATTTTACCTTATGTCATATTTTCATCCATCTTAAGCATATATACCATGCTGATATTGTTGGATGATATTGGATTTTTAAAAAATGATACTTCATATCATTTGTATGCCATCTTTGATGCACTAGACTCAACGGAATTTTCAGGTAGGTCTGATAAAAATAATAATCACGAATATGTTTTGATATTTTCTTCAAGAAACATACTTATCATAATTGTAACCAATGAGGCGGGAGAGAGTTGAAAGAAATCAAGAATTAGCTACTTTGTTCAGTTAAGATTTTTCAGTTATTACTTCGTTTGATTGAGTTGAGACTTTTTTGTAAAGTATAGTGAAGTTAATTACATACTTAAAAGTAAGTTATGTGGGATTGTATATAAAACTTCGGACATTGCTTAACTAAGATGTTTACAAAATTATGTCAGTTGCATCTTTTTTGCGTATAGTTAGCTGAAATGTAAAAAAGGTAAGAAACGTCTCAGAAAGGTCATGCCTATATACTTCAACGATCCATGAAATTATTAATTGCTGGTCGATACTCCATTAGAAATTGCATAAATTCGATCAAAATAACTAAATTCAATGGCATTTAATGATACAGACTGATGCGTTGTGGGTCTTTGAAATATTCTTTTTCCACATACTTTCTGTTCAAGGCATTTAACTTTTTTCGGAAGTTTCTTTTCTGACTCATTTCACTTTTTTACGGGTTCCAATTACTGTGAGATTTTAAATTTTGATAGTTTAAGGAATCACGAGATACCGTGAACTTCAAAATAGTTCTAAACGGTTTTAGACAGCTTGGTCATTGATTGATTCATTTCAAGGTATCCAAATTAAGTCCGCGTTCATATGCAACCCAGTGTTCTGTTTTCATCCATGAATTCTTATGAATTTTAAGGAAGATTGGTTGTACGAAGCATAGAAAGGCAGGTCCTTTTAAGAGAATTGGTTTGAAAATATAAAGGTTGATCCCAAAACTTATAAGATGCATTCCTTAAAATCTATGCTAGTAGAGCAAACTCACTGAATCACTTACTTACTAACAGAAACGGCAGATCAATAAAACTTATTCTGAAGTATCTACAGGAAAACGCAGTGCAGTTGAACCTTGAACATGATACATTAGCTCATTTTCCAACAAAATACAGCTGCACTAGAATATAAAATTATCAGAAGTGGAAATATCCAGCAAAAGTAATTAGAAAGCTTAAATGAATAAAAGTTCATAAATGAGAAAAACTGATATGCTTAAAATTATCAGTAAGATTAGTATCAAACATAATTCAGTCACTATAACCTACAACAAGTCATAAAAGCCTTTGTAAAAACTGTGGTTTTTAGCATTTTGTGGTCTGTAGATAGGTTCTATGTACCTACCTGAAAGTTTCATGCAAACAGTTATCAAGCTCATGGTTTAACTCCATGTTTCGATTAAAGAAACATACGTATTCCAAACCTAGTACTGTTTCACTGAAAATCATACAGTAAGGTATATGATGCCATTAGTGTACTCTAAGTCGGTTGTAGCCTTTTAAGGTAAGATATCTATAGCTGGAAAGATAAAAGTTTAGAAGGGTATGTCCTTCACGATTTCTTTCACTGAAATTTGAACGAAAGTAATCGCAACAAGATTTTTATGTTGTCATCACACAAGACCATAACTGTTCATTAGCTCTTAAAATTCATGAACATTGACAATGAACCTTGATTAGTACGATTTTTGAAGGACACTCTTATAGCAGTCTAATAATAACACAAGAAATCGCTGTCAAGTTAGTCGAATGTCATACTGAGATCATAAAGATTATCATATGTGTCAGATGTCGTCTGCACACTTTTGTTTCAAAAAGAGAGGATGAAATTCTCATTAATATAATTTCAACCATCTCTGAAGCCTGTATGAGAGTGACAGAATATCAGAATGACACCCGGTGTTGGTGTTCAACGATGCAAGTTGTCACACATCAGCAAATCAGACGAAAGTGCACCAAGATAAAGACAAAAGAATGGAGAAAAAAGTAGTCGAATGGGGTAGAGATTCGTAGGGAGAACAAAATGAAAAGCGAGAATATTGAAATTCAGTGTGAGAATCAAGATATAATAACGTTTTGCTGCATTTGCACCACTGAGATTCACTCCGAACCATTCCACTCAGAGTCTTCAACAGTTGGTTTCTGTTGTCATCAGGGTACTAAAAAGAAAGTTCTAAACAGATGGTCAAAGACTAGAGGGACTGCTGCTACTTTTTGGTCTGGGCACCCCAAACCTGTTACCAGACTCAACATACTTCAACTAACAATGCATGGCGTGGCAGATGTTTACTATGCGTGCATCACACATATCATAACCACATTAGTCATTCAATATTTATGCCCTCCATTAGCTGACTTTCTTCTCCATAAAACCAGAAGTCTGACTCTTGTGTTACTGGCGTGGAGATATGACGAAATATGGCCTATGCTTTGAAGGCGTTGGTTTTCAAATACTCAAATACTCATATACTTTACCTTAAACGGCCATGTTTCATAGTAATACAGTAGGCCAGAGCAAACTGTAGCGGAGTAACCTTGCTACTTATTACGCAGTCAGATATTATGCCACAGCAATAAATTAAGAAAACTCGAGAGAGCCTCTCGTATTTGTGCAGAAATTTCACATATCATTCACCCACCAAGACTGATCCGACTTTCTGAGGAAGTGAAGTAGCCAATGTGCTCAATATGTTCACTTCCAACTGTTAGGCAAGGTATCAGTCCAGAGAAGTTTGCATTTGGGTGTTGGTAAGAAACGCTATCCAAGCATTCTCGAATCGCCACCCAGTTTGTGCAGTAGGTTCTGCAATCTGAATCCTGTTCGGCTTAATCTTATTTGCTTTCATGAAATTTCCCTTAGTTGTCAAAGAACTATGGATTCTAAGATCTCTGATATTTTTAACCAGGTTGGTTTACAGGAAGTACGTTTGCCTCTTTTCAAAACAGTGACGTCAAATAATAATGTAAAATCATTTCGCACCCACTAACAATAACAACAACATGCATATATTTGAAAGTGTATGTCAGAACGAAATGTCAAGAAATTTGTTAGGAATATAAAAGAAGGAAGTGCTGGAGTGACTACTTCGTGGAGTTTGTTAACTTCAGGATTCCACTGACGTAATTAAATATAACAAGTTGCTTTTCTGAATACCGTACAATGCTTGTGAGTTTAAGTAAAAAGTTTAAAGTAGCCAAGAGAGAACGAACAGGTTACTAGCATAGGTTCCAAACTAAACTGAATATGATGTGCCCTATAGGAATAATAATTTTGCAGGAAATTTCAAAAGTGCAGTGCATGACATGATATAGTCATATTCCACGAAGCTCGAACTATTAGAAGCGACCAGCATTTCAGAGCCAATTTATGACACATTTGTTTGTCATCTCGTTACTTGGTATAGTTTTTTCTCATGAAATCCTAGTATTATCAACACTTGGTTGACAACCAGCGTTCAGGATATTCTAAACTATTGATAGAAGAGTTTTTTCAATTATACTTTTATATTCATCACGGTGCCTTAACTACAATTTTCAGTGAAATTCGAATTTCTGAAACATCATCAATATCATACTTCCGTTGTTACTTCAGTTTTAACTGACAACCAAAGTTGAAATATTGCTGATGTTTTGTTAGGACTTTTATTGCATTCTGCTCCTTCTGACTACCTTTTTTATGAAAGGTCAAATTTCACATATCACTGATTTGGTCGATATTTTCCTGTCAAACTGAACTGAACCACTTCTATTCATGGTTCTTTGTTAATTTATCTGTCAGTATGATCTTTTTCTTGACAAACTCCAGCTGACATTTCAGTTTTTTCTTTAAGTTTGGAGGAGAATAGATCTAGATTTTTAAGTCTCTTGTGTTTCTGAGTACTGCATCTTTTGACTTTGATTTCTATCGAGAGATTTCTCAAGATGTAAATGTATGGGAAATCATTCAAGTAGAATATATTTACCTACCTTAAAGTAAATCGCTGTACACACCCAACTACTGCGTGTTGTAATTCAATATACTATATGGAACAAGACTAATGTAAGTTTTTGATAACTTTTTCAAACTCTAAATTTATAAATCCATAAGAATAGGCGAACCACGATAGTCAGCGTAAGGTATAACGTTAAATTATATCACTATTGTAACAGTTAATGTTATGGGTAAATGGAGATTAAATCATATGGATGCAAGCTTTATCATGTGGAATAGTAATCAGTCTAGTGTTACTTTCCATCTCAATCTGTTTATTAGATGTCTCACACAATTAAATAGAATTATCTACAGTATTATTACTAATGTTTCACAGTGTGGCATGTCTAATAAACAGACTAAAATGAGATTTTGTTCTGCCACAGTGTTATTCTTTTACAGTATGGCGCTACTCGTACAATGAAGTCGTTATGAACAGAAAAATTATGATATATATAAAAGGACAAAATCTATAAATAATGATTCATTTCTATACATATTTCAAAGGTTAAATGGGCTATTTACTAAAGATCGATTAATCACTATGTTAGGATGAGTTATATATAATTAGGTTGAGAATTTTATGTATATACCATGAAATAATGAAACAACAAATTTGAGGTGTTGTGTAAGCGACGAAAATGACTACCTATAACAACTTAAATAAACAACAGTATAATACTAATAGTGCACGAAAATAAATGTTGACCAGTGAAATTGAAACAGTGTAAAAGAATGGGATTGAAGGTCTGAATGTGAAATTTATGGAGGAGAACATCATAGAAATTGTGTCGACCCTATTGTAAGACAAGGTAGACAAAGTGAGTCTACATACCTCTTTTGAACACATACGTTAGATTTTCGTTTGTTGATTTCTATGGCTTTGACCTTAGATACGAGGAACAGTCATGCCCCTTTGAGATGCATTACAAGGGAAACGATATATCACAAGACACGCCTGACTTGATTTGATGGCGATCATTTACTTAATGCGAAAGAAGTATACTGTTGGTGAACTTGGTTATTTCTTCTTCTAATCAAACAGGTAGCAGTTGACCAGTGCATTTGAAAATCAGTTGAAGTCAGTTCACCAATCTTGAGCACGTTCATGGAGTAGACAGTATGACACACCTATTGTGTGGGAGCTAATGGTGCTACGTGACTGCCTAAACCTACGTAGATGGAGCTGGTTTTAAAACAAGAGCCTGTCAGTTGAAAATCAAGAGAATCGACCAATGTGCTAGTGCTCTGAAATATTTATGGGCACGCATGGATAACACATTCTGAGTACGGTCTGTTCATCTAACTCTTCATGACCAGTTGAACTCATAGATGCACATTTGAATTGGTCATTCCCAACTCACTGTGTAAGTAGTAGTTTGTGTTGGCTGCTTTAAAAACGTTAAATGAAGTGAGTTTTCTTCTGAAAGATCTACTAATACAGATAGACGGGACAATATCACCACTGAGACTCAGCTTAAGATAAAAAGCATCCTTCTCTACCTCTGTCATATCTCTAGGTCTCGACATTTATTCATTTATTTATGAAGTATATTAGATTGCTGTAAAGTTATCTCCAGCCTATCCATTTCTTCGTGGGTCCAGTCATGTAATTCGTACTTCATAACCAAGATATTTGACTAAGTTTTGTTTCTACTGAATTGGTTGAAAGCTGTAGGAAGGACTATTTTGGCCAGTCAGCATGTTTTTTTTCTAATAATATTCCCTTCAATATCTTTATCAATTTTACTGGCGAGCAGGATATCCAGGAATGGTATGCTATTACCTTGTTTCTCCTCAATGGTGAGCTTCATAGCTGGGTAAAAATTGTTGAAAAACTTCATATCTTCTTAATTTGAGGTCCACTTCGAAAACGATGAAGATACTGTCTACATACCGGCAATGATGGCCTAGCTTAATAAGTGTGTCCATAAATGGGTTATTTTCAAGTTTGCATAGGTTGCAGAGAGAAGCCAATCGTAAACTCATCCACTAGTCTACGGATCTCATTGTTGAAAGCAAACTGGAATTTCGTCATTGTCTTAGCATTATTTCAAGTGGGATTCCTAAGTCCACTTCATGTAATGTAAGCTGATTACATATCTAGGGAGATGTACGAAGACTAGTTCTACTATATAGTAAAGGTTTCATCAGAGATAAATAAACTAGTATCACGAAAAGTCAATCAATATTTTTTCACACCGGTCGTAATTAAATGTCTTTCATAAAAACTATTGTGATTATTGTTCATTACAAAACTAACATGTATATTAGTCTAAATAGTAACCATTAGTCAATTTAATTCTCGACTCTCTTTTTGATCCCATTTCTTTAAAATATAGCCAACCAAAAAGTTCAATTGATAAATTATTTAGAAGGACTGCAGTATGATTTTAGTTGCTGTGGTGGTAAATCATTTATGAACTGGTTACTAAGCAAGCATTCAATTCCAGTCGAATATTTAAGAGGATTTAATGCATCTAAGTATATTCTTGAACAAGAGGTATTCAATCCGTGGAATTTAAGAGAACATACAGAATTTTTACCACTTAGTTGTTGTGATCGTAATAGAAGTCTCTATTGTTCAATGGAGGTGCTCAATCCAAATACTACTTTGGATTTTGATCAAATAAGTCAAATTGTACCAGTTTACACTCGTGACTGTGTGACTTCCATTACACTACAAATGACAAGCGAGCTGAATTCTATGACGTGGATGTATTCCAGCCTTAATATTAGTCTACACCTATTGCAACTCTTCCTGAATGTAAAGACGTATGAAATCGTTTCGGCTAACTTTCCATGCAAAACGTGGTCTTTCATACCAGCCAAATTTCATCGAAACTTAACTCCTCCGTCAAAGAACTCTGTGGAATATAGTACCGGGTCTATAAATCGAATGGCAGGATCAATAACATACGTAGATAGTTCTTTAATGCATTATGATGATTCCGCGTTAACTGGATCTGTGACAACAGTAAAGAGACCTGAAAAGTTAGCTCATTCTTCTGGTTCCATTACAAATAATGAAGGCGCTTACATCCATCAAACTTTGCCTAAAACTCATAATGATAATTCAAAAACTCATAGAACAGAATCGAAAATGTATACTGACGGTTCACGAGAGTATAAAGATGGGACAATCACTCCAGGACCTTATGATGCTAGACAAGATTGTTTACTTGGGCGTACGATACACTTATTTTATGGGCCAGCTGGTTATGTATCAACTACAAAATTACTTGAAGCATGCCAAAACTTTCACCTATATGCTAGGCCAAGTGAAGAAAAATTACAAGATTTATCTTCTAAAGTGGATCACATTGAAAAGAAGATGCATATTGGATGGGTATTAAAGGATTCGTCTAAAGAGCAATCATTCACTTTTTATGTGCCAAGATTGGATTTCAAAAATACCAAGTTGAAACATTCCCATGAGTTTCGATATTACTTACGAAATCGTCTACCACTACTAGAAGCCTTGTTATATGCTGATGGTAATGATCTAGTGAACAGAGAAGCAAATTACATCTATCGCAGTTATTCAGTGTTTATACTTCGTGCTGTCATTTTTCTAATTATAGGTTATGTGGCAAGTAAACTGATATTATTAATTATCAATAATGTTCAGTCAAGTAATGCTTTATTGGACAAAGTGAGTCATCAGAATGGTGAACATGATAACCCATATTCTTGGATTAACAAGAGGTATAGTGAGGATATTCGTAAAATAATGGAAATCGTTGAAAGACAAACAAAAGTGTTGGTTACCATAACAATAATGGTTGGTGTATTGATTTCATTACGTGTGCGTTGCTTATTGTTCTTAATGATACCAACATTTGGATTGGTAGTCGGTCATGTATATCTTGCTAATCAAATGATTTACACATCATTTATTGGACCATTAACATCAAGTGAATATAATATGAAATCAGTGAGTAGTGTTTTGAGTTGTTTAAGTAAAGCAGCGTATAGCATTTCAAGAGATTTCAACAAATTTGATTATATAGGTTCCACAGTTGATAATGTAAGCAAATTTTCAGCTGACTTAATTCTTTCACCAAACGAAGAAACCTTTTATCCTTTGGATCATATTTCAGTATCATCATCGTTGTTAGAAGTGATACGTGACACTGGTGAAAAGTTGAGCAGTACAGTTGTAGACTATAAGAATAACTTACCATCACTAGACAAACTGGTAAGTGAACTAAAGCTGAATAATTTTTTGTATAATTAAATTTGTTTAGTTCTAATTTAATCCGACATGTATATATTATGCGACTTAAGTCCCACTGTTCGGTATTATGCTTCTCGCTACTCACTAATAAAATGTCGAGACTAATATAATCAGCCATGAGGTTTATTGGGTGAAGAAATAAACATATTTTAAGCTTCAAAAATTTAACGTTTTCAGGAGTTCTGTCCTTTTCTGTGCACCGTTGGTAAACTTTGAACTCAGTGATTAGTTTAATATACATTGATTGAGTTCAGAATGTTGGTTATTTAAAAACTACTCAAAGGAGATATGTTTCATAATCGAATTTTTGCCACTGAAGTACAAGAATCAGCTGCTAGAAAGTTGCAAGTTTCATGTTATGAAGATTAGCACTAGACGAAGTTCATTTTCCTGTTTAAAGTTTGTGATATTGCTACCAGTGATTCAGTAGTTCAGAATCATTTAATTTTTGGATTAGTCACGGCAAATGAAATGAGGATTACATGCTTTTATGGAACTGTTAGTCAAGTATATCTCAAATCTCAAGGAAACTCACGCTCTATGTGAGGCTTGCAATGCATTGGTTGTTTACTGGAATTGATGAGATAATTGCTTACTTAAATATATTCTTATTTCACCTAAAAGTGATGTCATTGTGTTAACAAGTTGGTCTTTTGATAATAACGAACACTGTACTTCAGTAACTAGTGCTGGATTTAACTTACTTACAAAGCAGTGCGATGGAACTTTCCACTTATTCAACCTTACGAAAGGAATGCTTCGAAGACTTTCCGTGTCGAAAACCTGTAATCTCTTCATAACTTAAACCTTCAGCTGCTGTACCTCACAGCCATATAGTTGGACAGAGTAGGCTGCAGCGTAGTACACTCGTCCATGAACAGTTAGTCGCAGATAGCTTAAGTTGGCAGGTGAAAAATCGGTCGACTCCATTCCAACTGAAATTTCATCAGTAACCTGCCCGTTGTGGCTGACAAAAATACCCAGGTAAGTGATGAGGTCGATGTATTCTACGACTACTCTACCTTTTCTTAAAATAGAATTAGCTTCACTCCAGGCTTACAGCATTGTCTTGCATTTTTCAGGTGCAAAACGCATGCCTAACATTCTCAAATTTCTGTTCAAGATGTTCTAAAGAGTCTGAACTAAGTTAACGTTTTTTCCTATCAGTAAAATTTTGCCTGACTAATCGAAGCGAACCATCTCAGGAGTAAGTCGATCCTTAAGAAATCAAATGAACCTAGGGAATATGCATTACCACATCTATATCGGAGTTATGCAAGAACGGTGATAGTCGGTATCCTTGGAGGACACAAGTGATTTTCTTGATTTAGAACACAATCTTTCCATAAGCACGTACATCGCTGCGCCGAGTTCAAGGTAATCAGGAATACTCTGACCCCGGGGTGGGGTCCCGCCATTGCCCATCGGTGGGTCAAAACTCACAACAAATCCTGATCAGGTGCGAGGCCTCACGCTCCTCACCTTAAAGAAAGTGTTCCTAGCTATTCGTTAGAGCCATGTAGGGAGATCCAAAATAGCCAGTTGCAGGCCTCTGGACAAGAGAAACCAGTGTTTGGAGACTGCCTATAGGTGAAATGGCTCAGAACCGACCGATGTCAGTGGCGCAGTTCCATACACGAATTATCCACATCTTAACCGCTACACTCAATCTCATCATCTCATTATTCCTCCCTCTCCTTCACAACTTTCTACTTTTACTTCTACTTCTTTTGGCCGATTTTTCTTACCTTGCTCATTTTTGTTTTGTTGCCTTGGTACTTGATGTGCTGATATGAGGTGTGACAACTTGAACTGTTAAGCAGTAATACCTGGTCTTATATTGGTCTTGATGATGATGATGACAGCACTGAGTGAGTTCTAGTAATCAGCTTTGATCGGCACTTAAAGCCTGCCTGGTTCTCTCTTCAAAGTCATACACTGCTACGATACCTTCCAGTTAACATAGTTGAGTGTATCATTAGGACCAGAGATATAAAAAACATTTAGGGGTGGGCATGTGTTTCTTTGTTTTTCAAACCTGTTTAAGGATGAAGATCTGACTGATACACCCTCAGCCAGGTCTGAAGGCCACCTGATTTCCTCGAGTTTGTTGTTTTTTCAGCTCCAGTAAGGCGCAAAACAAAGAAAAACAAGGAAGTGTGTGGAAGAATGCAGAACATTGATAAGGACAAGTCGCCATTGGAGTTTCAATGAGCACAATGAGAAGATACTTCTATATCATTTTGATCCATTATAAGCGATATCATGAATGGTTGAGGACCTCATTCTTTGATTCAATGTGGTTATTCTTCTTCAAATTGGATTCTACCGCAGTCATTGCAGTTAGTGTAGGATATTACATGACTTGACACAAGCACTATGCAGTCCAGTCATCTATGTCACAGAACTCACGACTTTGTTAAATGACCCTCACTGCAAACCTCATAATTATGTCGTAGTGATCCTATCACACTTTAACACTCTTTAAAGACAAAATAGGATTTTAAGCTCTCAATTTCCCCACACATGCCTCATACATGGCCTTAACCTACTGTTAAACAAAGAAATTTGCCCAATTGCTGTTTAATATACTTGCTTCTTCATAACCAGTTAGACATCTTGTTGGTGCGATGTGTTAAAATTTTGCGAACCCTGGAACATACCTTTAGATATATATTGAAACTTCATCAGTGAATAAAACAGTAAGAATTAATTAGAAGGTGTTTTTACTCAACCGGTTCACCTTTACCCCTTAAGTGCAACACAGTGAATACCTAAACAGGTTGGTTACTTTTAACAAAGTTAACTATTTCCGAGATATACTTTCCTGTTAATCAAGTTTAGTGTGGCTAAGCATGATGTTAATTCCGTTTCAGCATGTTATAGAAGTCTGTAAGCTAAGTTCAAGAGCTTAACCAAGGCAGCATGCTTTCCACTGTTTTTTAGTCTAAAATTTCTTGATTATTCAATTTATTCAGAGTGAATTATACCACCTCCATTATATTGCTTTTTTTTTTCCATAGACTGAAAACTATAAAAACTTGACTGAAAAGTTTGAAAGTTCTTATTCAAAGAATGAAATTTCAAAAATACACCATGAATTAGCTAGAAACCTTTCAATAACAATGAAGGAAAGATTGGATCAAAGAATTGAGAAGTATAAACATGATGTTAGGCATTACTTAGAAAGAGAAATTTCTTCAAATGCAAACAATTATTTCAATATGAATATTGTATCTCAAGGTATGGAGATGGAGTACGAAATGCTCAATAATTTAATACATTTCTGTATGATTATACATGAAAGAAAATTTGCCAGCTGTTTAAATAAAGCCAAAGAGATATGTAATGATCTGCAAAACAACCGTCAGTTTCAAGGTTCCTGGTTTAGTAGTCTGTGTGATGATCATTTTCAGGCGGAGGAGTTTTGTGATTTATTCAATTACATAAAAGCGGTTAGACAGGAGTGCTCAGTTGAGGTAATATCATTCGCACCTGAATTTGGCCTTTTCAGTTACCTGAAGGAATCCTATGAATCGCTTAACGTGTTGAATAGCTCAATGAAGGTTGAAATATTCCTTAATGAAAGCTTTATAAATAAACAAAGCCTTATATGGAAAGAATGGGAAAAAGAAAATAAGCATATGGATAAACCAGTGACTTCTTCAATGAACATTCTCTACTATTCACTTTTATTATTGACTACACTATTGAGATTAACGTTTCTTTTACTGATCTATACAGTGCATAAATATATTTCAAATTATTTACTGAATGTCAACTTTGATAATTTATATTGTGAGCCAACATGTGAAATGATTGATAGGAAACGTTTGAAAGAAGTTAGAGAAACCTTATTTCCCTTGAAGTTAAGTGAAAAATCCTTTGTTCTATGGACTAAGTTTGGTTACACTTGGAAAAATATTAAAAAGTCATTATTCCGTTTATTTTTTGTGATTTTTCTCGGCCTAGCACTACTCTGTATCTTTTACCTAGATCATTACATGCATCACTTGATAATTTCAATGGATGAATTACTTGTAAATAACACAGGAAATAATGATGAATTGTCCGACGATATTCAGAGATTTACAACTGGTTTTACCACTAATATTACGGAAGGTACTTATGCCAAAGTCATTGGAAATGGACTGTTCAAAGAAATGATCAATAAGTTACTACAAAGTGTTGGACATCTAAAACAAATAAATTTAGATTATAACGTTGATCATTGTGCAAAGAGTGCCTATGAAACAGATCCAACACATAAAGCTCATTTTTATTCAGTATGGATGATATTTACTATACTATCATTGATATCAATTGGTCTCTTACGTATTCGTCATAGAATTGTAAAATTTTTCTATCCTGCACAAACAAGGCGTCGTGCAGTAGCCTTATATAATTACCTACTAGCACAACGTCGGAATCAGTTAACTAAATCCCGTCATCGAATCATTCATTGTGCACAACTTGGTCGTTTACAAGAAGAAGTTGAACGTCTATCGCAACCATCATTTTTAGCCAGACTGTGTTCACAGTTGGCATGTTTACTTGGTATGGATAAGGTTACTTGTGTCATATGTTCGGAACAATTTGAACATAATACAGATATCTTAATATGTCCTATCGATAATGCAGCATTTTGTCAATCGTGCCTGCTAACGATCATGAAAGACAATGTTTGTATAGCCTGCTTAGATCGCGATCCAAAACAACTGTTCAAAGAGAGTAGGAAGATTCAGAAAATGCTTAATCGCTTAAGTCAGTCAGAGAATACTAATTTTTTTTAATATCCTATAATTCCAGTGAAAAATATTATGTTAGGTTAAGATACAGGATATCTGACTGAAACCGGTGTTATATTTAATACGGAAAAAGATGTCGACAGTACGGACTATTGTTAAATTGGTGTAAGCCTTGTAATTAGTTTATTCATTATGATCACATGTAGCAGTTGTTGAAGTAATGTGTCATTATTTGAGTGAGTAAAATATAGCTTGATGAAGAACATCTGTTTTTCAGCATTTATATTTAGTAAGAATAAAAGTAAACTATGAATAAAGGTTTTGTGATAATCCCTTTTTCACTGACAACGTGCATGCTACGGTAAGAATTTATGCTGTACTCTTTACTTTCATACTGCTGTTTTATATCAAACTAAAATTCGAAGTTCAAGAGGGAATTCAGATGAATGTTTATTAGCCATGTTTGTCATTGTGAAGCAGTCAAAAAGCAACTTTGCAAACAGGATTATTGTGTTTGTTGAATTAAAGTAATCTATGCCCTCGATAAAATTTGAATATGCTTCATTTAATGATTTAGTCAGAAATGTCTTTACTATATCATCTAGGTTATCACATCATTCTTATCGATCTGATTTATCGACATTGATGAATTAGTCTAAACGGCTATCTTCGACTAGCAATCAGTCTTGGGAAAACATAGCAATCCCAAATCTGGTTACATTTTATAACTAGTCGCAGTGAATTCTGTCAGTTTCAAGTGAAAGTGCAACAGCTCACCTTCAAATTTTCTGATCAAACTGCCAATTGATAAGAATGAAAATCCTTTTATGCCCACTGGATAGCCTAGAAAATGTCATTCCAGAAGAAATGTAGCTAAAATACGTATTGTTATGGAGATTCATGTTAACCATTATTATTATTCGTCGCTTAGCTTCCCAATGGAATATAGGGCTTCAGTAGCACACCTCCAGTACACTCTCCTCTCTGAAAACTTTTGAACCTGGCACCACAAAAGCCCACTAGCTCTCATTTCCTCCTCGCTCGATCTCCTTCATATCACCCACACCTCGGACGCCAAACTCATCGTTTCCCATCTAGCTTTCGCTCGGAGGCCTGGCCTGACTCGTGATGTCCACAGTTGGCCTTCTCAGTGCATGCTCAATCCATCTACACTTCCTTCCAGTGCATATTTGTTGAGTAATAGCTTCTTGGTTGGTTCGTTCCCAGACAGAGTGAGTTCCTTGTTGTTTATTCCTATTATTCTGGCCATCTGAGCTTCAGTAACGAGCCAGCGTAGGTGGCAGTTGTTGATGAATGTCTGTAGTTTGTTGGAAATCCCTTTCGTAATCCGCCAAATCTCTGAACCATCACATAGAAGCACTGACTTGACTGGGTTGGTGTTGAAAATCCGGATATTGTTCACGCTTTATGCTGAGTGCAGAAGATCTCCACACTGGTTTCAGGTTAATCAACGCCTGCCTTGCTTCTCCGATCCTGCCTGCTTTGACGTCCTTGTCTGTGCACGTGCCGCCTGTAGTTGAGATGTTGCTGCCTTAGCTGGGTAGGTGAAAGAGGTTACTTCCTTTTAGTTTCTCTTGTTGATGGTGGTGTTTGTTGTTGCTGTTGTTGTTGGGTATTTTTATCACCTCTGTCTTCTCTACATCCACTTGAAGTCCTATCTTCGCTGCCTACCCTCTTCTGTCAACTTGTTAGTTTTCACCAGTAGATCTTCAAGTTTATGCGACATCAGACCAAACATCACCTAGTCAAATCTTTAAAACCCTCATGAATTATTACGAACGAGAAACATGGAAAAAATGAAAGTAAATCCAATGTACGTTTCTCAAATGTGAGAGAACACCTCCTCGTATTAAAAATTCGGATACAAATTATCAATCAAATACGTACACAACCATGACCTTATAAAGTAAGATGGGAACTGTGGAAATTGCCAGCTACTGAACCCGTCAACCCACTTTATTCAATTGTTAGGTGCTGCTGATTATGGTGTTTAGCGTAAAACTAAAGGGCTTGTCAACCAAAGTTAAGGAAATTCACATTCTCAGCCATGTGCTGGTTTTTATTGTCCCCTTCATGTCTCTTGTTACGAATGAAAAAGAAACAAAGCAGTAAGAACGGTAAAAATACATGGATTTGAAACAAAGAAGCACATGGTACACACGTAGGTTCAAAGGAAATAGAATATCAAAGGATCACCTAAATCACCAAACTAAGGCTTTCTAGAAAAACACTAACAAAAGCTCTAGTTTACACAGAAACCAAGGTGCTGGGTACAACTGCGTATATTAGTTAGGATTACATTGGTGTGAATGTCTTTCACATTTTGAACTAGTTTTGAGAACTCCCTGTACATGCAAAAGTACTTGTAAGCTGCAAGTAATGAACTCCTAAAAACCTTTTGGAATTATTTACATTACGAATAATATTTGTGGTAGCTTTTCACGTACTCTTACACAGTAAAAATAGTCCGATCAATAGTTAAGTTGCACGGTAATAATTTATCAACTTTTAAGGAAAGATTCAGTGACTATTTATCTCAGATACAGTTGAATTAGTATACAATTAGTAGGAATTTAAAGTCCATTGTTAGGAATAGTAAGAAAGAGAAAGAGGAAAAATAAAGAAATGGCTCACCGTAGATGAATAAAGAGGTTTCTTCACATAAATTACTGGTTATTTCTCAACTTTTATTTCACAAATCACAGTCAGGTAGCTGAAATGGATGTAAACAAACTATTGCGTTATGGATGTGTCATTTAAATGCATGAACGGATTGGCAGTAGATAAAACAGCCTTGAGAAAAAATTCTGATATCTACATTTGTGTCGATCTCAGGTGGTGCATCATTATGTGGCTTGACTGCGAAACAAGAGTGATCCTATAGACCATCTAAATAACCACTGAAATAATTAATCGCGTTTCATGGTTTTACAAAAACTAAAATCCGAGCCGAAATAGCTAAACCATATTGGCTATTTCAGTGTTTACTTACTTTTGCTGAGATAACCAATCAGATTTTTCTAGTTATCTGGAAAGGCAGTTTTCATCAATATGCATAAACGATTGGCTATTTTAGTGGTTGATTGAGCTGTTTTTAATATCACTGACCTATAATTTCAGCTATTACTTATGCAAGACGATGGTATGTTTCTTTTTTAACCACATTCTTACTAGTCACCAGTAAAATTTCACTTAAAAGCATATTTTCCCATCCACAACTCAAATAAATAAATCCCGGCAGTTTAGGCCATGTTAATGATTCTCACAGCTATCCTGGTGACATCTGAAGAAATCAGCTAGGCTCCTTTATGTTGACCGAAAAAGCAAATTTTCATAAAATAAAGACGTGTAATTGGTTATTTTAGTCTTTTCCAAGGTAACCATTGTAGTTACTTATATCACAGTACTGCCTGGCACCAGTACACGCAAAGACAAGCCAGCCTCAAAGTGCGCACTAGCTACTACACCGCCAAAGTCTGTGCAACTAGCGCGACTTCAAAAGCCATATTAGTCATAATCTAAATAACCAATTAGGTTTCTGCATTTCGGTTGGAAAGGCAGATTTTCACAATACAGAGAAGTTTGATAGACCATTTCAGTTTCTGCCAGAGTGGCTTTAAAGTCACTCGTGTTACTAATTAGGAATCGGGGCATATTAAGGCTTGCTTCAAAGACATGGTCTGTGAACGACTTTAAAAGCCACCTTATCAACAACTGAAATAACCAGTTAGAATCCTGCATTTTGAAAAAATATGGCACCCTAGCAGGAATAGAGAAATCTAACTGGTCATTCCAGTTGTTGCTTTGGTGACCTTTAAAACCACTCTACTTCAACAGTTACTAGGGTAGCCGTTTGAGTTGAGTGACACCGAAGTCTACCACAACAACAAATAAAATAACCAATTTGATTAGTTTAATAAGTTGCATTTCCGGCTAAAATACAGAAATGTGATTGGCCACTTAAGTCGTTGCAAGGTTTTACCTTTAAATCACACCTTCGAGTCACTCGCAGGACAAATTTGAGTGAGTCTAAGGACAACTTGCAAGACCACCCTACCAGCTGTTCAGATAATCAATTAGGTTCCTCTATTTAATGAAAAAGCACTCCCCCTAGGCGAAGTATCTGAACCTGATTAGTCATTCCAGCAGTTGCTTAGGCGGCTTTTAAGGCCGCCCTAGCAACAACTAAAATGACCAATAACGTTCCTCTGTTTCGTCTAAGGGAGCAGATTTTCAAAAACAAAGATCTAATTCACTATTTTAGTTGCTGCTATGGCGACTCTTAGAGCTATTCGCTGAAATAAGCAGTCAGTTGTTTTATTTTTGTCTATGACAGAAGTGTTTATAAAATAAGGAATCTACTCGATCCTGCAGGCTTTTGGGGATGATAAGGTCTGCCAACGAACTGGTCATCAACACAGTTATATTTAATTGCTAGGATGGTATTCAAAGTCACCCTGAGGAAGTATCTTCTTTGAAGTTTCCATAGCTCTATGATTTAACTTGTCAATAATATACTATTCTGTCAGACATCAAAATATTATGGCTTTGGCCGCAACATTACTTCTCACTTATTGACTGGTTGATTAAAAAATCAGCGATCTGTGTTATAGAGAAGGAACACAAAACGCAGAGTTCACCTAAATATAAACGGAAAACAGTAAAGAGAAAACTACACATTTATCTTATAAGAAAGTGCCATACATAGAAATCAAATTCCGAAACTATTTATGTAATTAAAGTCAACTACTATATTAACATCTGATTTGCAATGTGAAAACTAAACGTACTTCAAAAGTTTATATTACAAAGAGAAGAGGTGAGTTAATGAGATGAGGATGTCCAGATCAAGAAAAAATACACTTTCTCAACATCACACTTCCTAATAAACTAACTGCTCTATGACGCTGATCCCAGTTACATCAATCTGCTGCTGTTATTCGTTAATTTAATTTGTTCGATCTACTATCTTAGCCCCAAGTTACTATTTTTGTATTTAAGTACCACCAATTAAGTCACATCAGCCGACTGCAGCAGACTAAAACTGTTTTCTACTGGTCAGAATAAATGCTATGTACTTGAAAATATATATGACAAATGTAGAGGACCTAAAAACAGAGTGATCTAATCAGAAAGTTAGTGAATGAGAGCAAGAGGTATTGCAGCCAAGATTACTCACAATTGGTTAGTTGATTTCCATGTTCATACTGTGTAGGGATGCTACAATTACCCAACAGGAAAATCACCAATAATGAATTTATAAAAGATGCTTGTGAGATATCATCTCCCTTTTATGGATCACATAGTTTAATGAGCTGAAGTTTTTGACAAGTGTAGGGGAAGAACTTGAGGAAGTAGTGCATAGGTATCTTACCAATCCGTATATTTTGACTACATATAGTCTTAAATGAGAAACACCGTCTTGTCAGGCGACATTTAAAGTGAGAGAGCATAAATCTTAAAAAAATATGACTGTGCTAGTCACGTGCACACCATTAATCTATTCTTTTAATTCAAGCTTGTTAAACGAGTAATTCCTGCCGTCTTATCTTACCAGGAGATGTACAAGTCCATGCATACACTTGACGATTCATCTATGCTTAAGAACAGTTATAACCAGAATTTGTTTATTTCAATCAGCAATTGGAAAATTACTTTATTCTTGTAAGCTTCGTTTATGCGTGAGGTTACTCCTGTTTGTTATAAACTACTATGATAAGGTCTTTAGTTGAAATTGAATCTACAGCAAATTTACCCTGGCCTTCAATAAATGTTGATGACTAGGTGATAAACGTTTTGTCGACTTAACAACTTGTAATGATGCTGGATAAGCACTGTGGTATAATTCTATCTTGCGAACAGTATGCCGTTACACCTTAGTTTTCAATTATTGCTACCATAAATATTTTAGGGTATTGAAAACCTATTAGGAACTTTTTTATTCACCTCATTCACTAAAGAATATTTCAAAACTAAGATAATGAGAAGTCATGCCAAAATGTTTACAGAAAAAAGCACTTGAATGGATACTGTGAAATTACTGAGAACTTTGGGCATTTGTCATAAACCAACTAACTTGGTAATCCTCGTCTTTTGTCCCTACAATCTAATTTCTGTTCCGGCAAGCACTTCTAATGCAAACCGCCTTAATAATGACTTTTTATATGTTGTCTAACAGACTCATCGATTAGAACATTATAAGTGGATCGTTTTCATTGTATGAGTTCTGTGTAAAACGGACCTACTTTTGGATGTGCACATGCCATCAATACTTCATATCAAGCGTCCTGCGGATTCTGTGCATATTAACAGTAAGTTCGATATGTATAGCAAACTGTTGTAAGAACATAAACAACTATGATATTCAGTCCATATATTTTACTAATGCGTAAATCTGTGTTATCTTGCTGATACTCCTCGAATTCATATATATTTACATGAAAATGAATGATTATTATTATTATTCAGCGTTTGACTTCCGTTTTAGAGTGATGCAATTCTTTTAAGGCTAGTGTTCAAATTTATTTTCCACCAAAGATTCAGTTGAATACCAAAATTACACAGTATACATTTAAAGAAGAACGTAAATGTTTTTTCGATTGTTGAAGCTATTCGCTAATCAGTCATTCACAGTAAGTCACAAAATCCAAGACTCTTTTCGGCATTTTCAAACAGTTAGATTTCACACTGTAACGTACTTTAAGCTTATTGATTCGTTAGGACTTACTGAAATATTCAAGTGATGTGCGGAAACTTAATACTGCTACCAGGGTAACAAAAACGAAGCACATATTCACAGGTAAAATACAGTGACTCAAACTGAATTCAAATTTTCACATTTAAGAACTTTGTTCGCAGTGAGAGACAACCGTCTTCTGTCATCCCTATTTATCTGGCCTCATTTTTCATCGTCACCTTTTATATAGAGCCAAAGCTGAAAATACCAAACTACCAGTTCAGATCAATTTTCATCTGCTTGTTTAGGCCACAGAAACATTTAGATTAGTCTTTTCCATTGGGAATGATTAAGTAAAAGAAATTGTCTGGGTGGGTAGAATTAAGGTATAAGCACATACGTCTTCAATTTTAATGTAATTATAAGTTTTGACAAATCAAGTCAACACAACTGATTTTCTACTTTGCTAATCAGCTGATTTCACATATCTTATATACGTATCATTTTAATCGATCACTGTCAAATGTCCTCGTTGTACTAATACGTTTCAGGCACAAGCCGATCAAATTATTTCAAAGTTTATTTTCTTTCAGTTTGGATAGTTGACTTGAATTCAGAACGGTTGTTAGTCAGAACTAGTAACGAGGGATTAAATACTCGTTCCCATTCAAAGAACAAATGGTAGTAGAAAATAACATTCTGAAATTCGCATATCTGTGACTATGATGGACTGAATAGCTTCAGCAAGATCATATCTTTTATCGATATTAATTTATGAATACCTTGTAATGATTAGTGATGGAGTGGAAGACGCTTTTGTCTTCTCATTTGGAACTTGCCAGCTACATCTGCCTACCTTTCAGCAACTGATGCATTTCTGCCATGATAAGAACCTAGTACTCACCTTTACAAACCCCAAAACACAATCCACTATGCCAAGGAGTCATTATAACCTCTCCTTGCTAGATGGATAATGTTTGATTTTAAAGCTTATGGTTTTTCATCCTTGGTTGGACCAAATTCATTGACTTCTGGGGCAGTTAGCTACTAAATTAATCTTGGTTTCTGTTTAAAATTCATTTACTGAGAGACTTACCTTTTGGCTTAGTTATTGGTCAAGTAACCACTCGTCACTTGCAGGAAGTTCTTATCTATCAGCTATTGGATTAAAGAACTTGAATAGATAATGAGTTTATTCAAACGGGACGAACAAGACGCTTATATAGCCCTCAAAACAATTTCATGACTGAATTTGATATTGAATTGGCTCAAATGTAGTATATCAGAGTCCATTTCACTGCACTAGTGTTATCAAGAAAAAGAATCGTAACTAGATTGATAATCAAACCTTTCATGGTTTGGTACATAAATCGTTTATCAAATTAGAAATGAGATTAACAGCATAGAAGGTTTTATATTATTCATTAGAAAATAAACAAAAGGTTACATAGCATTATACAGAAAATCGAGACAAAACAACAAAAATAAGTGAACTATTTATTTTATTGTCAAATAGCAAAGTTTGGAAATGTCTAATGTTAGTTACCTTGTAACGACAATTGACTCATCTGTCTATCGTGTAAACTAACATTTAGCGTATAATTGAGGGATCAGGTTCTTCATGGATTATTATCTTTTTTAATCTTGAAATATTTTTATTGATCTTTTCTAACCTTGTATAATTTCTGTCTAAACAAGTCACACAAACTCTATGTTTATTAAATAGAGTAGTTAAACAATACTGACATATTGCTGTGTCATCATAAGGACATACATAAACCAACGATTTCTTATCAATTGGATATCGTTCCATACAGACAATACAATTAATTTTATTTTGTTTAAATAATTTACCTAACAGTGGATTAATATTATATAAAAGGGAACGTTGTGAACGTTCTTCAGCTTCTTCTTGTAATCTGTTTTGTCGTGATTGATGTATAAGTAAATTACGTGCAATAGTCATCCTACGCCTTCGATTCACTAATAATTCATTATATAAATAAATAACACGACGCTTCAAACGATGTGGATAGAAGAAATCTAACAATTTATGTCTAACGCGTAACATATAACCGGAGAGTAAACAAACTATTATCATTAAACACCATATCATACAAAAGCGTAAAAAGTAACCGTAATGTGTGTGTTCAACTACAGGACTGCACACACTTAAATCATATGCTAATTCAATTTTACTAATGTATTTTATAATTTTCACTGTTATACCTATTAAGTCACTAAACAACCCATCACCAAGTATACGTACTTGTTTTCGATTTGGAATATCTGTTTGTCTTAATGTTCCATTATCTTTTAACTCTTCACCACCAATTTTAAATTTAGTACTTGCTATTTCATTTAACACTTCGATTGCTTCAGCCATATATTTATCTATGGTGAATAATACAGTTAAACAAAACCCGAAACCTAATACTTTTACAAGATTTTTAATAATGCGTTGCAATTCACCTCGAGTATAGACTTTCTGATGCCATATCACATTAGCTAGTTCCTGCTTTTTTAAGGGCAGCAATGTTTCACGTGATTCCTTTGAACGCCGATGATCGATTTCTTCAAAAGTTGATTCAACATAAATGTTGTCATAATTGGGATCAGTTAAATAGTTTGTAATGCAATAGTGAGCTTTGTAAATTACAAAAAGAAAAGTAATTTTAGCAGAAGAGATAAGATTAAACCTAATTCATAGATAACATGTATGGTTTCTTTTGTACGTTGAGCAATACGTGAAATAACATCAGACTTTCCACTTATCCAATTACTGAATACTTCTGACTGAAACATTTGACGTTCAAAAGATAAGTGAAATGCTCGTCGAATTTTATATAGTTCATCTTGAGCTTGTAGAAAAGATGAACCGAATCCACTAGAAAAACCAATTTTCGATAAACTTGAACTGCATTTTTGTACAGCTTCTTCAAGTGCTTGATTTGTAGGACAAGCCACACCGGAGGCGACTTTACGAATACAAATATTTTTAATCAATATGGGAAACCAAGTAGTTGCAATCAGGATGGTTTGAAGACGACCGCATGCTTGAATAGATGATTCCGTACAGATAGTGGCACGTGTTTTATAGAACACCATACAAGTGGTTAGCATTCTACTTTCTATACTATTTTCTATTCTTAAGCCATTTTCAATACGATCGGTCAGTTTCTTTAATGTTCTATTATCCATATATTTATCTTTTACTAGTGCTTTTATCCTGTTTTTACTTGCTTCAGCCTTTTTCATCATTCCTTTTCTAGCTCGTTCAGCCATTTCGGCGGACATGCGAGCATATACGTTTGTTGCATTATTAGTTGTATGAAGGAAAGATTTTGCACGCTTCATCACAACCTTGCCTTTTTCAATCTAAATAAGAGGGAGACAAATAACAGTTATTCTTAGTTAGGTAGTTTACAAATATTTGTTTGCTTTTTCGTTCTGATTGTACAACGTGATAAAATAAACTTGAGAATTTTAATCTTTAACTTCCTTTCATATTTTAACCCATAATAAAGGATTTGAAACTGGTTTCTACTCATGTCACATCGGTTACAAGGATCTAGACCGTAAGGTTTCTTTTTCTCTAAACTTAAGAGTCCAGTAGCCTTAGAATGCATATTACCCGTTTACTTATCACTACTTTACTGCTGCACTGAGTGACCTATGAGAATATGTTGGGATGTAGATTGAAGTGAGAGTTGTCAGAACTGAAATTCAGTCACATAATTGACAGACCTCTTCCATCTCATTGTAAACTCTGATCTGTTTTTCACAGAAAGTTAGCTATGACCTCACAGCCAAGACTGTAAGGGATATATATATATATATATATATATATATATATATATTCAGCTGCATCTTTTACTCCACCTGATTAGAATTATATGATCCATCACTATTTAGCAGTAGGTAGTTAATCTGCCATAACAAATATTTTCCGTAACTTGTCTTCATCCGAATCACCTGATGAATGTCACTTAAATGTATTATAATCAGTAGGTTGATGCACCAAACAGTGGTTATGCTTGTCATGTTCTAATCAAAGATACTCTGTTCTTTTCACGAACAGCCGCTGAACACATAATATTAAAACTTTTAATATGCAGTGAAGTTTTCATCATTATTTACATACGGATCAAAGGCATATACATGAAGCATTTAAAGCTTTATTACCTTGCAGACGTTGATGATGAACTATTTCGGTGGGTGTCCACAGAAAACATCTTCATCTTATAAGAACTTATCCGTTAACTGATGTGGTTTGCAAAAGATGGTTTAATGAGTAGGAGTTGTGAAACTGCAAATTTAGACTTGCAAGTTCCATGGTAATACAGCAAGAACAGACAGTTAGAAAGATAAATATCCCAAGTATCTGTAAGGAAAAATTCGACTTGACTCATTATCACTGTATTGAACAACTGGGTGATTAGTAGGTCATAGAAGATATGAGCGGTTTTGTGTTACATGGGTTTACCAATATTTATTCAGCCTTCAATGCTCTAACTAAAGGTATTGACTGCTTCATTTTTCTAATACCTACCACTAGAGTGATGTTTTCCTGGTGGAGGACCGTAAGCAATGTAACCACTAAGACAGCTGATTTCACAAAACCAGGTTCATCTAAGTGTAATATGGTAGAAGAAGCTATGGGAACTACTAGACCTTGATACGGCACATTGAACGCGATGTATGGGAGGCACAAATGTAATAATTTCGGTTTTTAGTATGATATAATGTCCTTTTGTATTGCATACTAAAGTAATTAGGTTGAATCCTGAGTCAGATTCCATCTTGTTTTAATCAGTCAATAAGATGTTCTGAATATGTCATGTAAAAGCAATTTCTACTGATCAGAAAACTGATCAAGTCCTAACTCCCACTGACATTAAAAATAGAGGTGGGCCTACCAAACTCATTAGATTTTAAAAAAGAACATCGTTTTCAAGGCTATGACGTAATCCAAGGTGCATTAAATGTTCGAGAGGAGACATTTAATGAACTCGGGGAAGCTGGTGAAGAGTTCTAAGTTTAAAAAGTGGGTTTATTCGCTAGAAAAGAATGGAAGACTGTTGTGGGAAAACGTACACAACGTACATAGATTCCTAGTGTTTTAGATTCTAAAAGTGCTTAAAGCTGGTATTATTAAAAACCAAAGCTACTAAAACCCTCGATGGAAAGCGAAATGGTGCAAACATTTTGTATAAATTGAAAAGAGTATTCATGTGCAGTTAATCGTATGCAATTTACACGAATCAAGGGAATCGGATTCAGTATGATGACTGTCTCATGACTTGAACTTAGTAGGATCACTTTCAGAAAATATTTATGAAAGGGCCTCCGGTTGGCTTTCTCCTCGACACCATTTTCGTGTTGTGCTGGGCATTGAAGAACAACTCTGCTGACTTTTATCTACGACATGCGTTATCGTTGATTCCAATTTAACAATTGGGCCCGACTGACTGAACATAGTGAAAAAAAAGAAGTGCTGAAACAGGTAGAAACCAGACGTCAAGATGATGAAAAATGTTAAGGCCGATAGTTCTGAGCAGTCAAATTAAGGAATAAAATACTTCCAAAACCTGTTGATGTTCATGACTTGGACTTGGTGTCTGTGACATAAGCGCTCTTAACATCAGAAGCCAGTCCCATGAGTTAGAGATTTTATTGATCGGGCTTCAACCAATCATGGTAGCGGTCACAGAGAAATGGTATGGATGGACAAACACCACATTTTTGATGATACAACTAAAACCTTAAGTGGTAGAAGTAAAACTACTATTTTGAGCCCGGAAACTGTTTTCATTTGTAACATCCTACAGATCTAATCAATGTTCATTAAAAAGGAAAATGTTTTTAGAATATTCCAAACCTTGATCCAGACAAGCCTTTCCATACAGATGAGCTACATTCCTGTATATTATCAGCAGCTATGGATATGGTCGCCAAACCACCATCTTGACTGTCTAACATGTATTTCATTAAACCATTCCGCATCACTCAGTTATTGGAAGGATAGCGTAGTAAGTTCAGTTTAAAAAATAGCCATAGATATCTAGTGTCAAATAATCGTTTAGTCAATCTGATCACTTTAATGGGTGGGATCTACACTATGGAACAGCATAGTCATAGAAGAGGTCACTCATCAAAAGCATCTCATAATAACCGGAGAATACCAGGCTGTTAATATCCAACATGAATGTTTTAAGTGGTATAATATCCATTGACTTTGCAAAGCTTATGATATGGCTTATTAGCTACGTCTTAAAAAGAACCTGAAAATCTTTAGAAGAACTGAGTCAAAGATTTTCATTGTGACAGCGCACATGAAGTAGGATTGAACTAACTTATTTGTCTCAACATAATATCTTAGGTTGAATTCTTTTCATTTTCTATGTGAATGAAATGCCGTGAATTGCTGAACTTTCTGTTTGCATCCTTGCCGGAAAAGCTTAACTTTGAAGACCGTTTCATTATGATGAAGATAGGTTACTTCTGCAGGAAAATCTAACTGATGTAACAGACTGGTTCTCAAGATGATGTTACCGAACTAGCGCAATCAAAACGGTATTTATGCGAGTACTTTAAAATGGTCCACATGGCTGTTTGATTAAACAGACACTACTGTCTAGAATCACTGAATACATGAATTTAGTTGTCATGGTCATAATCTTAAAACATCATCTATATGCAGAGCGGCACTTGTAAAGGCTTAAAACTTTTGTGGAACTTGTGGAAGGAATTCAAGTGCTTTGATGACAGCATGTTTTGGATCTTATATCCGACATACGCAAGACCCTTTTTGGAGGCTGAGATGTGGCTAGCCACCCGGCGTTTCAAATATGAAACTAAGAGTATGAAACAAGTTTGTCAAATCGTTCTCTAGTCACTCCTGAGAAGAAGTACAGGATCCATAGCATAGACAGCAAAAGTCCTTTTTTCACGTGGACTTATGAACTACTGGAACTATCTGGAGAAGAACTTTGTGTCTGCACCTTCTGTTGATACTCTCAAAGCGAAATTGTATCTCGACGACATAAGCACTAACAAGGATTATTATGCATCATTAAGCCACTATCCTTTTTCCTCAAGAATGAAGAATGGGTTGTACTTAGTTGACCCATCATAACGTGGACAAGCACTTAGGCATCCTTCTCAATAATACCCATCTGAGAACTGAAAGCGTCATGCAACGTAGATACTAGTGTCATGCTGCTGAAGAAAACTTGATTCGTCACTTTAATCTGAAGTTCTTTTCAACTTACACATGTGGAAAGATGTAAAACGACTTAGGAACCTATTGAACCTACGATGTACATCGTTGAATGTGTAGGGTTTAAATATATATCAGCGCTCGATTTACCCTTCCGTAATTGGTCTATCCTTTTCTTCTTAGCTATTCATACGAACTAATTAAAATAAAAATAGTAAATGCACAAAGCAACTTAGTAGCGTATTTAGAAGAGCTTTTCTCTTAACCCCTGCACTGTATAGTTCATCAACGTGAATTTATCAGTGACAAAATGACAAAGGAAGAAGAATATAGAACCTTGTACAAAAAAAAATCAGTTCAAGTTGTCACACCTCGAAATTCGTATGAGAAAAACGTACAGCCCAAAGGTTTACATCATGTCTTGAAGCTCATAAAGTGTAACAAATTTCCGTGTTGTTTTACCACCCCTAGCTCTTTTTCTAGAAATCTTAACTAAATTTGGCTATATTTTTCTGAATTTTTCTAAATTTTATTATAGCCTTCTCTATCTTGATGTATTCATGTGAGGCGTGGCAACGTAGCAATGCCAGGTCAAATATTGATATTGACTGGCACATTGGTTTGTTTTAATAATAACATGTAAATGTTTAAATTGATAGAAAATGATACCCACTGAGTTGGAGATGTAATTAGTTTACGGGTTGTTAGAAGACAAGTCAGTCTTAAGTGAATATGCAGGGTGAGGTAAATTAAGTATAAGTGGAAATTAAATCTTGAAATCTAAGTAATTGTTCAAAAGTGGTATTTCATGTCACCGAGATCATGAGCGTTCACCAAATTCTCTAAAACAATTTCTTGCATTCACCAAACCCCTTACATCAAACTTTACAAGAGCATTTTACTTTTACATTAACTTACTTCTTGGTTCAGTTTTTGAAATGATTCATTGTATTGGTTTATTTTATTCTTTATTTGTTCAGACTTTTTCTTGATGATTTCAATATAGTTCATATCTCCTTCTGTAGTAACTTCTTCTTTACCCTTTTCAAGGAAATCACTGGCATCTTTTGACATATTATACGCTAACTTAATAAAACATATCAGAGATTCAGCTGCTGAAATGATATTGTGCTCTAAACTTCTTACTGGTCCTGTTATAGACGTATGTATTAATTCGCTGCCTAGGTACGATAAACCAATAGTTTGTGCTAAGTTGGGAATAATAAGAAGAAGAAGACAACGAAATCTACGGGATATCATAGCTGCTATAATAATTGTTACACGGGTAAAAACTTTAGTTATCCACATAACATCCTGAGCTAAGAGTTCAGCATCTCTACGAATAATATCATTAGGTATTTTTTTATCATCAGTAGGCAATTCTATAGACTGATCTTTGAGAGGTAAAATTGTGATCAGCATAATTTCACTCACAAATATTCCGAATAACAAAAAGCATATCATCCTTGAAATACTTGCAATATACCCTCCATATATGATATTAGCTTCAATCTCTTCTCTTTCACTACCATCAGCATAAATGAGCATTTCAAGTGTAGGCAACCATTTACGTAAAAATTGACGAAACTGATTCAAGGGAATTTTATTCTTTTTTATCTGTACTCTACGTAGAAATGTCACATAATATTTACCTTTAATAATTAACATCCAGCCTATATTTATTCCTTTTTGTAACCACTGTGATTTAAACTTTGCAAATGGTAACTGAAGATGAGTTAATTGTCCAAACAACCAATAACTCTGACAGGCAGCGGATAAATGTGAATTTGATATGTAGCGCATATTTTCAAATATGTTGAAATCATTTGATTTTCGAAAGGAATATCTTTTAAGTTGAACAGGCTTACTTTTGTGATTTGGTTGACTTTGGTTGTAAACTAGGTAGCATGTGGTTAAACGTAGAATATGTAAACATATACTGATTGCACTATATTTAGTAATGAAATCATACATTAACTGTCTATAATCATGAGCTATTTTGGCTAAACAACCATCTTTGTAAAATGGCAGTGTATCATGCTGAAATAATGAATAGCCTGTCAGCTGATAAGAATTAAGTTTTATTGAGTTTATAAATTTTGTTGAACACGTTACTACATTTTCCGGATTGCAACAACTCTTTGGTATCTGAAATATATCGCTTGCCCATGTATACATCAATTCATTATCATGTAATTCATGGTATTTTGTTATGCCATACCAATCTTGTATAGAATTAAATCCACAACATTGATAGTTTCTTTGTAATTTTTTCAAATGGTTTGTATACAAGGAAAATTGATCAGCTGTATTAGATGATAAACAAAATTTTACATCACAGTTAAGCAATATCACTCAATGAGATCATGTTTTCGACAATTTTCCTTAAGTAATATATTATGTCTACCGACTTTATTTAAAATCTCTACCAGCAGTGGTGAAATATGAAAAATCAAACATAGTGATGCATTGCAAACAAAAATTACTCTAAATTAAGTAATCCAATGATTAATACAGAAGAAGCAACGGAAACGGAACTTCAAGTGGATGTAGAGAAGACAGAGGTGATAAAAATACCCAACAACAACAGCAACAACAAACACCAATCACCATCAACAAGAGAAACTAAAAGGAAGTAACCTCTTTCACCTACCCAGCTAAGGCAGCAACATTTCAACTACAGGCGGCACGTGCACAGACAAGGATGTCAAAGCAGGCAGGATCGGAGAAGCAAGGCAGGCGTTCATTAACTTGAAACCAGTGTGGAGATCTTCTGCACTCAGCATAAAGCGTGAACAACATCCGGATTTTCAACACCAACCCAGTCAAGTCAGTGCTTCTATGTGATGGTTCAGAGATTTGGCGGATTACGAAAGGGATTTCCAACAAACTACAGACATTCATCAACAGCTGCCACATACGCTGGCTCGTTACTGAAGCTCAGATGGCCAGAATAATAAGAATAAACAACAAGGAATTCACTCTGGCTGGGAACGAACCAACCAAGAAGCTATTACCCAACAAATATGCACTGGAAGGAAGTGTAGATGGATTGAGCATGCACTGAGAAGGCCAACTGTGGACATCACGAGTCAGGCCAGGCACTCGGGTGGAACCCAGATGGGAAACGATGAGTTTGGCGTCCGAGGTGAGGGTGATATGAAGGAGATCGAGCGAGGAGGAAATGAGAGCTAGTGGGCTTTTGTGGTGCCAGGTTCAAAAGTTTTCAGAGAAGAGAGTGGACTGGAGGTGTGCTACTGAAGCCCTATATTCTATTTGGAGCCCAAGGTAAAAAAAATAATAATAAAGTGATAGATACGGAAATTTACTAGGCAGAATGGAGTATATTAGATTCCAAGCTTTCATGAAAGCTGATAGTAATTTATAATTTTGATTCGCCTGGCTGTGTTATGAATCATTCAGGGATAATGATGTAGTACGCTTACATGCTTTTTTCCATCAAAAGTGAAGCCTGCATTTTCACAAATTCGGACTTGATTTTTAAGTATAGGTTTCTCTTGTTTTTCTGGAACTATAATCTTGACATGCGTCACCAGAGTAGTTCAAACTAAGAATGTTTGTTTATAACAGAGTGAAAGTTTCTTAGCAGACCCAAGCAACGTACTATGGGACGAAATCTGGGAAACATTTCGATGGATGTTGAAGTCACCAATCGGTCTTCTCAGTGCATACCCAGTCCAATACATCTCCACTTTCTTCTCCATATCTGTTGGATGATGGGTTCTTGAGTGGTTTGTTGCCAGGTCACAGTGAGTGCTTCGTTGCTTATCCTCAATGCTCTGGCCATTTGGTCTGCAGTATTGAGTGAGAGTAGGCTGCAGCTGTCAATGTATGTGTGCACTTTGTTGGAAATGCTTTCCATAACGCGAAGCCAAGTCTCTCAACCATCATATCAAAGCACTGACTGACTTGACTCGATTAGTGTTGAAAATCCGAATCTCGTTCACGCTTTATGCTGAATGCAGTGTCACCTTATCTGAAAATCATCCTAATGGTTAGTTAATCACGTGCTGGTAATCAGACGGAGATAGCAGTGACTGAAAATGCAGAGTTGTCAAATATCCTTCATTCGACTGTAGTTGAAACAATGCTCCATTGCCTGGGTAGGTGAAAGAGACTACTCCCTTCACATTTCTCCCGTTCATGCTGACTGGTGCTTCTCGTTGGTGCTGTTGCTGTTTGTATCTCTTCATCACCTCTGTTTTCTCTGCGTTCACCAGAATTCCTCTCTTCCTACTCATTCTCACGTCACCTCACCTCTTCTTCCAACTTGTTAGTTTTTGCCTGCAGATCTTCACGTTTGTGCGGCATTAGAAATGATGCATAAATCATCATCGTCGGTTTTGAAATCCAAATCTTCTAGGGTCTTTTCATCGGTCAGACGGCATATACCCATCTCCGTGTTCCTCACAGATGTCTGTTGCATGATCCATTCCACTCCAGTCGACCACAATCAGGAAGGTCATCGATGATGGCAGGCGGAAACCTTGTCTTATTCCTGTCTTCAATTTGGAGGCATCACGGAGCTTTCCATTGAGGATCGCTTGGTATGTAGCATCATCATATAGCATATAGATGCTGTTGAATGAGGTTGGTGAAGTTTTGTGGCACTAAAACCAAAGTGTTGAAACAGTTGCCAAATTTCTTCTCAGTCGACGCTGTCAAAGGCCATCACGAAGTGGATGAAGTTAAGGTGAAGAGTTATCATTCTGCCATTCTATGCTCTGGTCTATGATAATATGTAGAGTAGCGTTGCAATTTGATCCTAATATGATTTGTTTTTCCTGAAGCCAGCCAGGCAGCCTGATCCGGATGTATTTTTGAATCCATAGCATTTTTAGTCTCTCCATGATGATGCAGCCTATTATTTTGCTTCGGGTGGCCAGGGAAAAGAGATTGATTTCTCGCCAATACTTGCAAACACTTAGATCGACCTTATATGGAAGTTTGACAAACTAACCCAATCATCAGCTACCCTTCCTTCCTTCCTTCCTTACAAACACTATGCAGTGGTGATGTGAGCATATCTGCTTATGTCTCGGCATCTGTTTTTAGTGCTTCTGAAGGAATTCAATCTGGTCCAGCTACTCTCCCTGATTTCAGCAAATTCATGGTGTTCAAGACTTATGGCTTTTTCGGAATACTTGTGATCACTAACAGTTCTGTGGCTGAACTGCTGGTAGTTTTTCTGGACGAGTTGCAGGTGATGGTGGTCGACTCAAGAGATTTTTGAGTCTATCAGCCCATCGTGTCCTCTGTTACCACTCTTTGCTAACTAAGTTTCCTTCACTATCTTTCATCAACTTCATCTGTGTTCATCTCTTCCCTCCCAGATAGTAACCTTTTTATTTGATATATAGCTTTGTCAGGTCTCTGTCTGTCGTACCTGCAGCCCGTTCTGCTTCACTTGCAAGTGTGTCGTAGAAGTATCTTTTAACTTTCCACGCACTTTTCCTCACTTCTTTGTCCAGTGTAGTGTTTTATAGGTTAGTTTGCATTCAGTTCCTCTTTTCTTTGTTCATCCCCATAATGCACTCAACTGCACTGGTTCATATTCTGCTTCTACGTCACCATCTTTGTCCCCTCCTCTTTCAGCTTCCATGTGTCTGTCGAGATCCACTTCCTGTCTTATTTCTTCTTCATTCTTAACACGGTTTTGCAGGTTACCTTCTACATTGCTTTCGAAAAGTTCCAGTGTTCTTCCACGCATGTTCCTCCTCCGATGATGCTTAATGTTTCCCATTATGTTCTTAAAACTGACGTGAACATTTCCTTTGTAGCTTCGTGCTTCAGTTTCTGGGTTTTGAAATCGGACTTGAACTGTGGTCCACCACCAACTCCAGTGAAGGCTTTCAAATTGATCTTGAAGGTAGGTTCCTTGCACTAGACGGTGAGTGGTGTGAACCTACATCTGCTCCTCTCCTTCATTTTGTGTCAAACAGGATGCGTCTCCGCTTTCTTGAGATTGAAATGAAGTCGGTCTGATGTTTAGTGCATCCATATGCTGATACCCATGTCGCTTTGTGGATATCCGTGTGCTTGAACACACTGCCTCCAATCACCAAATCGTTGAATGCACAGAAATCTCCATACAGTTCTCCATTCTCGTTCGTTTCACCGAGTGCCTCTCGACCCATGATGAGTTCTCTTCCTGTGTTGTCATCTCCCAGTTTAACATTCATGTCAACCATCAGAATTTTGATGTCACCATCTGATGTGGGGTCTTTTCCATTACTGATTACAATTGTCTGTAGATTTCGTCCTTCTTCTCTTGGTCTGCAGTTTTGTGAGTGCATAGCATAGCACTATGTCATCGTAACTTTCCTTCCTGATGCTGGAGGAGGTTGTTTATCACTGTATGAGAGCCTTCGATGTTCCTGGGGACATCATGGCAGCCATTCGAAAACTGGGTGTGCTCGTGGTTGTCTTCTTGGTGACAATATCGGAATGGATTATTGACTCTCCAGTTGGCAGTTGGGAGAGTCCACTTCAATCCCATCTGCAGATTCCTCTTAGATTCCTAGAACTTCTATGACATATCTTTACATCTCTTTTGCAGTCTGGCCAGCCTTGCTAGCTACCTTCAAACACTGTGTAGAAATTGCATGTGCCTATACTTAATTTTGGTTTCATCACGTGAAGAGAAGATACATCGGCCAATTGGTTTCCAGAGGGCTTTTACCAACCAGTGTCATTTTGTCTCTCTAATTCCAGCGAGGGATAAGTTTGTTTTTATTTTTTCTATTTTCTTTTTGCCTTAAAGTTTCTTCAGCGATTGAACTGATTTTCCGGAATAGGATTGCCAGCCCTATGCCCAACCTTGCCTCTTTATCCAAGTTTTGGATCGGCTAGTAAACCGGTGAACTAGTAAACTAGGAGAGATTGTAGTATTATTACCATGAATTAAATATTTCCACTGAATTTCATATTTTATGATCTATTCACTCACTTTTTGTTTAACTTTGATCAAATCATTTGGCCAGATTCAATGCTAGGGAGAAGCACCGGTGCCTTAGTATCGCATCCGATTTTTGTATGTTTAAATCTACTGATAAGCATTGTTTGTATAATGTACTATGGCTTTCTACATTTTGTTTAAAAATATTTTCTGATAAGTTATTGTTCCTTTCATTGTAATAATATTCTACTCAATATACATAGTCAAACCCTTTCCCAAGATTTGAATATTTTTTTCGTTTGAAAAAACAGTAAGAGTTTTCCTTGATTATGAATAATCTTATTTCTTTTTCCCATTGAATGATGTGTTAAAGTTGTCTGTGGGTGAATTTCAGCTGACTTTGCTTTCGACAAAATATTCTCTAATCGTGTGGGTATATAACAGTAATCTTATGCTGAGTTTATTACGTAGTAGAAACAGCAATCAAAACATGATATTATTGCTATTTTTAAAGAAAGCGTTTTCTAACACTTCTCACTATTCAATCATTTTCTGTAACGCAATCAATCATGCTTGTGTCAAGTGTGTAGGTTAAATAGTATGGCAATGTAATTAGTAAAAATATCGGAAATGAATCACAAACCGTAGCAAGGAAAAAGAGAAGAACATATGAAGAAGCGGTTGAAACCTGGCAACAATGAACATGTGTTGTATTCCCGTTTGGTGGGTCACAGTAGTGCACACCGGAAACTTTATGAGAGATAAATTTTTCTTTTTGATGTCAACTATGTACTTATTTAAAATGATATTGTGGATTTCACTGATATATTATCCAGTATCACACGATTATTCAGAGGTTGTTTTGTGTATGCTGGATACTCTTAAGCATGAATAAAGACATCACGAGTCCACTAGCCAGTATAACATACATCACAGTAAACCAATCTAAATGGTGAACACGATTGCCTGTAGAGGTGAGAGCTAATCAAATAAGTAAAACTTTCATGAGTGTTGGCAATGCTGCAGAGAGTCAGAATTCGATTCTTAGGTTACTAAAAGACTCTGTGTCTTGAGTTTATTATCCTCCGTACTCTGCAAAATATATACGTTTTTTACTGATGTACTTAGAAGAGAAATACAGTAAGTTCTTCTGTTTCAGGCTAGACACCTTGTTAATCATTAGTCAAGTTCGAATCACTAGTGCCTTTTACACATACACATGAGACATTCTGTCAAAGTCGTTCAAACAGTTTCTCCTAATTTTTCGGTCTAATACAGTTATTAAGATAACAGGTGAAGCCATTAACTGTTAGGTGAACTTCATACGCTCAGATGGGTAGACCGACACAGAAAGTGCCTTAGAAATGCGACATCTCAAATTGCTTTATTTCACGACTATGCTCAACACAGGTTCCAAAATTATGCTGAGGTGTGACCTTGAGGGAATCACAACTTATGTATATTTTGCATAAAGTTTACCTGTTAAACTGGGGACCAAATTTTGTTGAGCTAGAAAATTCTCAGAGCGCATATCATTGTTGTCGTGAAAAACATGCACAACTAAAATGAAACTAAACATGACTGTGTTGTTCTTCACACAAATTAACTCGGAATTATATTTTTACCCATCAGGTAAAGCATTTTCTCTTGTTGAAACTAATAAGATCATCCACCTCAAATGTGAACTCCAAAAATAAGTTATTCATACTTATATTTTCCTGTTGTTCTATCTGATCTAATTGATTGATTTCTGTTGGCGGGCAATCTCTTAAGTGCCCTCCTCAAAAATGTTCGAATATTTATGAGGTTATAGTCTGGTGGTCTCTAGTATTAGAATCCAGAAGGTGCATTTCCCCAATATTGAAGTCATCCACTGGACGTACTTGCATCCCAGCGGTAAGCGTTGTTCCCACGTTAAGCTCAAACCGAATGTACGGGATTTCACTACTGGTTAACAATCACAAATCAGGTTCAAATAAATTACGATACAATATAGAGGCAGCCGCGTGGGAATTCATTCCCGAGCAGACGCCGGCTAGTTTCGTTCAATATGACGACGGTCAAATATAAGTGCCATTATATAACCAATGATAACAGTTTCACAAGAAATGACCATCCTGCTTCAGAAGTCCAGCGAATAAAGCTTTGGCTTTTAGAGCAACTGTCGTATGGTTCAAGCCTCAGTAGGAACGCCAACACGTACTGGGATGCAGGAACACCCAACTTACTAATCCCAAATAGCACGAAATTTGTTTCCTGGATTTTACTACAAGCCGTCACCACTAAGGTACAAAATCGAAGAAAACTACTTCAGAATGAGGCCAATAGTTGTTGAGTTTTAGATTTTTGAAAATGAATGCTTTCATGAGAAATTAAAACAAAGCTTTGTAGAGGATTCTGCATATAATACCGAAGAAAACTCATGTCACATTTTGATTTGGTCAGATTATGGAAGGGATTTAATGTTCTAATAAGAACTTCGTAAGCTCGTCATCTTATAAGCTGTTTTCGCTTGTTTGTTTGCCAAATAATCCTAACTTTTGGCTTTTTTTATGCAACATGGAGTTATAGCTACCGATAAGTATATCCCTTTAACGATAAGGCATTCATATTGGTTAGATTTTTACCAAGTATCACTGTGAAAGTTTTCTAGTTTTGTCTAGCTTACAATTCCACTAAAAGTACATTTCTGGTTTAATATTTAATGACATTAAAAAATAAAGACAGAAAAACTTACAAGTTAAGTTTGGTGAATGAATTAGTTCAAAAATCTTGTTAAAGTGTATACTGATTCGATTGTCAAATGACCCAGTTTCGTCGAGTGAAGCTATGAAGGTATATACTGAATAAAATGTTGACATCCACATGTATGGTTTAACAATTAAATCCCAGAAGAAACTTGAAGCTAATATGAATACTTGATTTTGATGAAATGCAAACTTATTAGGTAATACAGCTAAGATATATGCACTCAACCAATAGACTAAGCAAAATATACAATCTAATATTTCAGTATATGATTTTCGTTTTATCTTTTCATAAATTGACTGACTTATTGAATATTTTTCTTTATTCGGTAGCGTAAACGTTTTTTCAAACAATGGGAAGTTTAATGAAATAATTGCATTTATTAAAAGTAAGAATGTGGTTAAGATGCCAAGCATACAGGCATGCTGATGCCACATGTCTTTCAATGCATATGTTAATAATTTATTGATTTACTCAGCATTCAAAATATTAACCTAACTTTGGGTATTATCATCATTTAGTTCATATGTTTACGATGTCCTTTGTATTTTTTAACGCTAATGAAAAATTAGGCCTGTCAGTCTTTTGAATTCATCTGCATGGCTAAATGTTAAACGTGCTTACTTTGATATATAAGCTTTCGATTTTAAGATATGAGTATGAGACAATAAAAGCTTTCATCAAGGTTCTATTTTATAAATATTATAACTCATGGAAGTCGGAGATAAAAAAATATTATCTTAGTACCGACGTGTACTACTTTTTTCATATCTTCAAGCACTTAGAAAGTAAATGTATTTACCAGATAACTAATTTTTTTCATAAACAGTGAAATTTGTGCTCATATTTATCACAGTTGCTTCAATTCAACATTTGTATTCATGTTAGTAATACAGATTCGTTTAAAAAGTGATGCAACCTAGATTCCTCTTATACAACGAAACTCTTATGAAAAACTCTAAAATCCAACTTGTGATTGCAAATTGTGTCCCTGTATACACAGTAGGAGCTCTAAAACAATGATGGACTTCATAATTTTTTGGTATTCTTCAGGCTTTGAGGTTTTTTCTTGGACGTTTCTTCACTAGTCTAGGCGACGTTTTCAGTCACTTCGCATGCGGATGAAACGTCCAAAACCTTTGCGCGTTGCAATATTTTCAATCTGAAAAATAGACTATGCACTAAAGCTACTTTTGGATTCATTCAAAACTTCTTGATAGGATTTCATGAACAATTTATTTGATACCGTGATTGTAGGAAGAAGCCTTATTTCTCTACGTGCTTTTTCTAGTTGATAGCTCCCACTTAGTTAATGCCGACTGATAACTATATAATTGGGATGCCAAGGTGTATACAGTAAAAATTGTCAGATTCTCCACTTTTATGTTGAGGATGAACTATTTGACTCACATATCGAATCGAAATGTCAGTGATAGATTATGATTCACAGTACATTAACCCAGTCTGCTGTGTGATAACATCCCATTTCCAGTGGAGTTTGTCCTTGGGCCTTTACTGAAAAATAATTGCAAGGTTTAAATTTACCCTTAATTTTCAGTGAATTAAGTGTTGTGGTAGTGTTTCCTATAACATTCAGTTGATAATTGTTCTTAGATTGCTCCTACTGGAGATTTTACTAGCTGCACTTTTGTATTTGACATTGTTGTGTATGTGGTCATATTTGCTGGTTGGTAAGTGTGATATACAAAGCAACTTCAAGCCGCAAACACACATGCCACCTATTTATTTTTATCGAAACTTATTTTCATACAGACATTGGTCCTTTGTTTGCGAAAATATTATCTATTATTTGCTTGTTGAGGCACAAAGCTCTGAGACTAGAATGGGTTTTGTTTGTTTTTTAACAAAGAATGTAAGTTATGTACATAAAAACCAAAAGCATAGAAGAAATATTTGATTACACCTGAACTACGGTTACGATTATAGGGTATGTCACGTTAAGTCTCCAAGTGGTAATTTTGCCACTCACATATATTCCAACCTAGTAGTTTACATCTCCTTAAACGGCTGAAATCAAGTCACAGGTTATTTTGATTGGCACCAGGTGTTATGCTGATGGCATTATTTTGTTTTGCAGCAATGAATGATTGAGTAAACAATGATTTGGCATAAGTAGTATGTACTCTAACTAATGAAGTCAATGACGATTTTCATATTTATTAACTGACTAATCTATTTTGTCTAAGAATTGAAGCTTAATCGCTACACTGCAAACACTATTTATTCATAGTTCTTTCTTATTTTTGGAATGTAAGTAAAGAAACAAATGTAGTGAATACTTGCTCAAAAGTCCCTGCCCGTTGTATTGAGCGGTCCAGAAAGACGCAGGCTTACCTGGCTGAGGTCCCCGAGATGATATGAGTCAGTGGCTGAGGACTATTGGTGAGATGGTTTTAAACTAGTCACAATAGCGCAGGTGTATTCACTCTTGGGCATCTTCTAAAGCTTGAATATTCACATTAACCCTTATCTTGAAATTGCTTATTCAGTCAAACAACTTTGTGTACTTTAAAATCAGTCTTTTTTGATGGACCTGTCCTTCGTGTAATACGGTGAATTCCGGCAATTTCAATCGATGCACTTATGTGAAAACGAATTTGATTTAAATTCCACTTTACTCCGTTTTTTCGAAATGTCAAACAGAGGGAGTGCATCACTTACTGGACAACGTTTCGCATACACTTTATTGTCCGTAATCATATCATGTTGCTTTTGTCTACGTCTAGTTGTTTTGTTTAGAATGATCAGTGATTAAAGCAGTAGCGTTGTATGTTTGACACTAGATATTAATATATTCTATGGAACGATTTTAAGAATTGTTATTATCCCCGTTGGTCATGCTCATGAGAGGTTGTAATCTCATGAGCAGCTATTTGATTTGTGTTGTTTGTTAAGTATTCATAGCTAGGCAGCTAAAACAAACATAATGTGTTCGACAACCAGATGGGTTATAAGAGAAATAAATTGGTCAGGAATGTAATTAACCCGACTCACCATAATCATTGTAAACCTGTTATTTTCACGTTGTATTTATTTATAACTCTGCTTTCTCTTTTGCTTTCATCTTTAAATTCATATTGTGGAGCAAATATATTCAGCATTTCTTTGCATTTTTCAATGTTAAATTATCGAAGAGAATGATTGTGTGTGAACATAGCTATATACATACGTATTACGTAATGCGAGGTGGTGTTTTGACCGTCTTAGGGACTGTTTAGTTCTTGTCAGTGTCAAGTAGCACTACACTTCAAAATTTTAGTTTACGACTATTTGTTCACAGTTAGGTAATTCTGGAAGCTATATTTATATCATCTATGAAAAACTGTCTACAGTTTCAAAAGATAAAACCGAATGAGAGCTGGTGATTTCATAAGTAAGCGGTTTGTTGACGATCAAGGTACATGCAGGAACCAATACACAACCAGTTACCGGCTGAAGGTTATTGGTTTTGTGTGATCTCATGGGAAACGTTACATGAATACGGTAAAGAAATTGTAATGCAAGAAACTTATGGATGGTTTTTCGGTGAGTGAAATGTAAACGATTCCGTAACCACAATTTTTTTCTAAACAGATTTCCAATTGTGGGCAGTTAGATTAGAGCTCCAAGTTAAGTGAACACCAGATTTACTTGGCCACTGTCGGCTTCGAATGAAAAAGGTTCATTACACAACAAACTAGTATTTAGTTATGACGAGGCTTACAGAAAACATAATTAAGCGAAATGACTTCACATTTTCAAGTTAACAGTTATCCAGGATAGAATCGTGGGATATCTGCATCGATGCAAAATAAATATAGTTTAAAATGCTGCTCTGATACAAGAATGAGGTTTTCGAAATGAATATTGTTTTAATACGAGAACAGATGATTGTTAGTTGTTTAAGAACCATCAGCAGGAACTCATTACTCTACTTAGGTGAGGTGCTTGTTAGCACCCGTCAGCAACTCGTATCTATGACTTGAAATAAACACATTTTCTGCCTGAAATTCAAAACCGTATCACACATTGTAGCAGTAAGCGACGTCGCAAAAGTGCTTTTCACTGGTCTTCTATGGAACTGGATAACATACATTTGATAGAAAGCTGTTAAGATCGAAATAAGGATTTAAGGTCATCAGACGTCTAAGTGGAATGTTTTGGATCTCTGTCTTCCTTTCGTCTTACTTTGTGGGCGTAAAATCCTTCATGAACAGTTTTGTCCTTCAGCTGACCAATGAAAATAAATATCCAAGTGATGACCTAATGGCCTCATTTTTTGAGGGAAAACTGTATATTATAGACAAAGTTTTCCTTCCTTACAGTCGTAGACCGGCCTCTGTCTTTTGATTTTCGTGACTCAGTGAAACATCAAGTCCTAGGGAGAACAGTAGCTACTCGTGTCCGGTTCAAGTGTCACATTTCATTATTACCATTTCGCGTATTTATCACTATGCGCTGTGGTTACTTCAGCATCGATTAGTCACTTTAGAGCAACCAGTTTCATGTTGTATGTTCCTGAATGCCGACTGAATTCTATTGGCTTTCTGCCATTTGCCTCTATCTATCTACCATCCATCAAAATGGGAGGCGGTTGTGAACCTTATAGCTAGGTAGTCACACTGCAATATGATCGATCGAATTTGTTCACCACTCAGGACTGGACAATATGACACTGGATGATCTGCAGTGACCAGTCAATGCGCAAATAAATGTTTTAGTAGTTTCCAAAAGTTGTCAAACTTTTCAAAACATATAAACTTATATTCCAATGAAAATGTTTCAGCACACTTGGGAACGATTTAACTTACAACAGTCAAAATCAGATTGACCGTGACTAGTGTGATATCTGAAAAAGCTTTTATGAGTCAGTTGAACGTGCTCTTCCAGTTGTGGGTGGTCGAGTTGTTTTCCCCGGAGGCCGGGAAAAGTTCATTCCAGTTACTTGTTAACCAACTTTAAGTTCTTATCCTTTCAAGTAATCAGGTAGATTTAGTTCTTCATGCTGGCAAGGTTTCTTGTGTAAAAGAAGCAAATTTCTCGCTTATACCATTAATTATGAAGAAAGCCTTGATTTTTACCCCTACTACATGTGCATAATAATGAAATGCGTCCTGAAAATACCACCGTCTATCCTTGCTACCGTTTCTAAGATTATGCTACTGAAAATATGCGTATGACTCCTTCGATTCTGTGAACTGTTGGTGCTTGCGATATATGAAATTAAAAGTATGATTCTCATTCTTTTCTGTATGGAATTTAGAATTTTAGTTGAGGCTACTAAATACTGCGACTTTTGAACATAACTCTTCCGAATCATACATTTCGAAAATATATTTATCATTATCGCTTTCGAAACGACCACATAGTAAACATTGTTGACTTTGTGATTTCACTCACAACCAAACCAATTACAACCGGATCGGAATTTAATAATATAAAAGCGA